GGCATTTTTGTCATTTTTCAGGAAGGTAACGGTGAGGACATACAGAGCTATGTTAGCTGCATTAAGACTACAAAAAAAGGTAACCAAATATCCCAAACTCTCATTTGGCACTCACAGTATGAGTGTAGGGGATCTGTATCTAAGTGTAGATATTTAGATACAGATTACAGTGTGTGCAAACCACTATCAGGAGAGCCTAAATGTTTTGATCCCCAATTCCAACCCCGTGCAATTTGGTTGGTAATTCGGAACAGTAACTCCCAGGGGACCTTGATAAATAGGACTGTGATAAATACCAAACATTCTTTGGGCATTCTGCTATATGATGCATGTAAGGTGATCTCTGGTAGTGGAAACCCTCGGAATGTATGTGGTAATCTTAAATGGGAACGAACTTATGAGTTTAATGATAAATATTTATGTCCCAGTAAGAGATCTACTGATCCTGATTGCCCAAATAGGGATTTTAATTTTTGTCCATATTGGTCTTGTGTAGGGTGGGCAACCTGGGGAAAAACAGTGGATCAAGATATGATTATCCAAAGGTTGCCACTACACCACACTGTAAGTCTATGGAATGTAATCCTGTCCATATGACCATCTCTAATCCACAACATTTTATTGATAAATTTGGAAATCTATTTGGGTTCCAAATATATGGCACAGGAGTAGATCCAGGGACCATAATATATGTAGGACTTGAAACTGAGACGATAGCAACTCAAACTCATCAGGTTTTTCATTCCTTCTATGAGGAGATGAGTGTTGAGGATAAAATTCCCCATAATGTTAAGAACCTATTTATTGATTTGGCTGAGAATAATTGCAGGTAGTCTTAATGTAACTAATTGCTTTGTATGTGGAGGTACTAATATGGGAGACCAGTGGCCATGGGAGGCAAAGGAAGTATGGTACCCTGGTTCTGAGACAGATGAACAACAAATACTTTCTCAGTCTGAACATCAAGTAAGTACTAGAGGTAAATCAGAGTGGCGGTTAAAAACCTCCATTATAGGTCATGTATGTTTAGCCAGGAAAGGGCCATTGTATACCACACCTGTTGGCGAGTTAATATGTCTAGGACAAAAAGCCTATAACGCCGATACTAAAGATACTACTTGGTGGTCAGCTTCAAATGTCTCAGAGCCTACTAATCCGTTTGCCATTTACAACCATTTAAAAGAGGTATGGTTTGACTTATCTGCTACATCCAATTGGAAAGCCCCAGCGAATTTATATTGGATCTGTGGTAAGAAAGCATATTCAGAGTTACCACAAGATTGGGATGGGGCATGTGTATTAGGTATGCTCAAACCATCCTTCTTCCTGTTGCCAATTGAGACAGGAGAGACCTTGGGAATTAAGGTTTATGATGTAAATCATAAAAAGAAGCGAGCATCCTTGAATATAGGTAGCTGGGAAGATGATGAGTGCCAACGCATTATTAATTATTATGGACCTGCTACTTGGGCAGAAGATGGTACTTATGGATATAGAACCCCAATATATATGCTCAACCGTATTATAAGACTACAGGCGGTGGTTGAGATTATCACTAACGAGACAGCTCAAGCACTTAATCTTCTAGCTAAGCAAAATACTTGGATGAGATCAGCCATCTAGCAAAATAGATTAGCTCTGGACTACCTATTAGCAGTAGAGGGAGGTGTATGCAGAAAGTTTAATCTCAGCAACTATTGTTTGCACATAGATGATGAAGGACGGGCAGTGGCTGAACTTACAAGCTACACGGTTAAACTGACGCATGTACCTACTGAGGTCTGGAATAGGTATAATCCTATTAGTTGGTTTGGAAGTTGGTATGAGCAGCTTGGAGGGATTAAGGAGTTAGTAGGAGGAGTAGTATTTATTATATTCTTATGTCTCTTTCTGCCCTGCCTAATTCCATTAGTGGTCAGATCTATATGTAGTATCATAGAGAGTACTTTAGAAAGAAAGACAGTTGCCCATGTAATGGTTGTCTATAGATATGAATCCCTAGCCCAAAGAGAACATATTCAGGATGAGGAATGCTGAAGGAGTTTGTGATGATGCTAATATGCTTACAAGGTCTGCTCTGGTCCAATGGCTACTTGAGAGGTGTTGGTAAACTATGATTGGTGATGCATCTGGAATAATTCTGTATCAGAGGCATCAAAGGGGGGAATGTGATTGAGTTTCAGTGAAATGGAAATTTAGTAGGCCGAGATTTCCACGTGGCATATGTGTATGTTGTATCAGTTAGTTAGTTACACGTAGCTAAGATACTGTCATCAATGTACTGAGTATGTGCAGGAATGCAGGAACTGAAATCACACTCCTTTCTCCTTTGTTTCGGATGAGCCATGTGGTCTGCCCGTATGAGGAAATCCAAATCCTGTCCACTGATTGGTTAAGGGTATGTGCGGGTGGAGCTATTAATGGGAGGAGTTATAGTTCTATAAAAAGCATGTACTCCATGTGTTCGGCCCTCAGACTTGTTTTGGAACGTGAGTTCATCTGAGGCCCGATCGGTATGTTAATAAAGACCTTTTACTTCCTGAAAACCTGCATCCATCTCTCCTTGTCTGGCTTCTGCAAGTTTACTCGGTTACAATGGAACATATTGTTTTTCATACAATGTTTCTTTAATTAATAACCTCTCACCTACTTTCAGTGCATAACATGCTACGTAGTTCTAACTTACGCAATTTTGTTTTCGCTTAATACAATAACAAGAAATGCATTAACATCTTCAAGGCTATGCTACATCATACTGAATTCTAATGAAAAGTAAAATAACTTTTACTTTTTCATACATGAACTGTGGTAACCCTAAAATTAATAAAGTAAAAGAGGTTTTACTGTTTCATATATGAACTGCGGTAACCCTAAAATGAAAAAAATTAATTTTCTTTTTTTACAATAATTTTCTTTTTTTACAATAATTTATTTTGTTTTATTTCAACACATATAAAAAAATATTTCCGTCTACAGTGAAAATCACCAATTTTATAACATGACAGGAGGCTTCATTTTTGCTTAAGTCTCTCTTTACTAGAACTCCACAGCAGCACATTAACATAGAGATAAAAACACCAGAGACAAAAAACTCAGGAATCTATAAAAGGCTTCTCCCAACCAACTACTTCCTCTTCCTTTGCTGCTCTGCAGACAGTACAGGTCAGAGTACCACTTCCTCCTGGTTTATATGGGTGGCTGTGGGATATATACTTTTACTTGTATTTGATCTTATGATTTGTTTTTAAGATTTGATGTGATTGTATGATTTAATTTCCATAATTTGATTTCAGGATTTGATTGTATGACTTGCTTTTAGGATTTGATTTTAGTATTTGAGGTTAATGATTTAATTGTATGATTTAAATTTCATGATTTAAATTCCATGATTTGATTTTCATGATTTGATATTGTGTGTTGATTTTGGGATTTATTTTATGAGGTGAAGTCATCTATTGTGCCTTTTGCGGGTGTTTTTTTTTTGCCTGCTCTTTCTACCTCCCCCCTTTTTCTGTGAGGTCTGCATGGGTGCTTCCTCCACCCTTCTCCCTCTATTTTTCCCTGCTCTCCTTGCGGGCATTTTACCTCCGTTTTCTTTCGGTTCTTTCTGGCTTCCTTCTGTTTTCTTCCTGTTGTCTTTCTGTTTTCCTAGCGGCCGGCGGGAAGTGGTTCAGTACCGCCTCCCGTCCTGTCCAGCTGCGGGGACTGCGGAGAACGACTCCTGCGGTCCCACGTGGGTATCTTGCGCTCCGCTCTCACAGCGCGTGAGAACTGCCCCTCCGCCTGTCACCCTCCCACGCTCCCCGCACCGTTGGGAAGCAGTTATCTTTCGCGGCCACGGGTGGCATGGGAGGGATGACCGGCCACATGGGAGCAAAGGATCCCGACCTCGTTTGGCCTCCCCACACCACAGGGCCCTCGGTCCGGGCGCCGGTGGGGAGGCAGGTTGTAAGAGTTTGCCTTTTGGAAATTCTAAGGTCACTACTATAAATACATTTCTGGAGAGGACGATGGGGGTGGACTATGATGATGCCCCCAAGTTGCACCGCTGGACAGAGAACAAGCCCACTACAGGGGCTCCGATGACTGTGGAAGAAGAGGTCGTCTCGTGGGTCACCTTAAACAAACCCCTGTGCGACCCTCGACCAATTGCTAATTTCTTCGGAAGGGTCTCGGCCCGGGCACCTAGCACCATCAGTGCGTTGCTGGGACCGTAGATCGCTGACTTGAGAAGCCTGCAAGATACTTGGAGTGGTATACCCAGCCGGGCTCCCGAACAAAGTAGCCTCGTACCCAGACTTAGACCCCGATGGGGCGCTATGGCTCTCCTGGTGGCAACGCCTGTCTAGTATACAGGAGATCCAGAGTACGGCCTGCTGCGGTGCCTATACTCTAGTTTTCAGTCCGGACTGACAAGCCAAGGGTTCTCCCGCACACGAGTGGGTTGTCTTACAGGACATACAGGGAAGAATATTGGGTCCCAGTTTTCATATGAAAAAACATTACGGAGACATATCTAAAGCTCCAACCCGTACCTGTTATAAGGGATTGGACCCTGGGCCCGGAATGTCACAGTTGCCTCCACCTTCGGATGACATAACAGATGGGACCCCAAACCTGGGGATTGCAGGAGACCCCATCTTAGTCAATTCGGACCGCTGAAGGTGCTTGGGATCAAGGGATCTGAGGCCTTTGGAGCCCGCACAAGACTACGCTTGAAGGTATAGTTTCTCATACGATTGGAATAGATTTTCCGGGAAGACCTGGCGTCAAGACCTTAGCCCACGGAGGAGGACCCATTAAGCTCCGTCCAGTTTCAGCCGGCATACAGACCGGTTTGCTCAGTGATGGACGTTTCCCTCCAGGGGTGTTCGACACTGAGACGCTGAGGAGGCCCCTCCATTGTTGTTTCCAGGACCTTAGTAAAAGTGTCTCGGTCTGCTGGTACCTTGGTTTTATGACCTCGGCTTTGGCCAAGTTGAGACTAGTGCCCGGATTCCCTGGACCTGTCCCACTTGATCACGTTTGCCTGCATGGTGACCCTGACGGATTAACAGAAATTTTGCAAACACTGTTACAGGGTTCGATTATTGTTTGGTCGTTTTAATGACCGGGGACTGTCATATCACTTAGATTAGGTAGGGTGTACGACTGTTTTCGGCGGGCCTCGCTCTGTTGGTATCTCCCTTTGAGCTAGACGTGCGGGTTCATAGGGGTGTGAGTCCTCTCGATTACCGAGGACGGGTATTCATTTCCCCAAGGGGTACACACGTTGTTTGTCATGCCTCAATTGCCGGTTTTTGTCCATCTCCAACTCTGGATTTGTTCCCCTTATCATACCCTTTTTTCTTCTTTCAGATGGGTTCGGATGTTCGGACCCGAGGGTTATACTCTTGTCTTGGTTGCACGCCCCCCTTTTGATGTTGCGGTTGACGCCACCGTGTGTTTAGACGGTTCTTTTCCTTTTCTTCGCCCTTCATGTACCGCCCCGTGGTTGTTGGCATTGGCGGGGCATATAGGTCTTTTGGTTAATTTCAGTCGGTATTCGGCGAGTTCAGGCACCGTCATGGTGGGCGTTTTTCTCCAGGACATTGTACACTTTCCTGCCGGTTACGGGAACTATCTTCACTAAGTTAGGTTGGTACGGCGGATCGTGTTTCTTTGGGCTTTGCTGTCCGAGCATTAAAACAGCAAATATGAAGCCTCCTGTCATGTTATAAAATTGTAGATTATATTAGCTTTAGTATAACTATAATCTTAATTTTATTAATGACAGGAGGTGAATATTTCCCTCCCAGTTTCTCCCTTCCCTGGTTTGTTGGTTGGTTTGACTGACTTTTGTTTATTCCTGGTCTCCTGGGCTAGGTTTGTTAATCTGGAGGAGATGGGGTTTATCTGGGATATGGTACCGTCAGTATGTTATGATGGGGATTCATGTTTTCTCAGTATCTGGGATATTATACTGTCAGTATTGACGATGGGGATTCATGTTTTTCTCAGTACATTTAATTCGCTAATCATTGTTTTCGACTCTGTTTATCTCATTTCAGCTTAATGGTTCGGCTACAGGATTCTACAGGATAAAGGTCAAGGCTTCATCCACTGGTTCCACGTTTTCAATTTCGGATGGCATTCATTGTTATGTTATGTTTGTTTCTCTTGTTATTGAATTTGTGGTGTATCGTTCATGTACTTTATTTTGTCGCAGCTTGAAAGAGGAATTAGTTGGTTGGGAGAAGCCTTTTGTGGATTCCTGAGTTTTTTGTCTCTGGTGTTTTTCTCTCTATGTTAATGTGCTGCTGTGAAGTTCTAGTAAAGAGAGATTTAAGCAAATATTCACCTCCTGTCATTAATAAAATTAAGATTATAGTTACACTAAAGCTAGTATAATCTACAATTTCTTCATAATGCATAACATATATAGATACTGTATTACAAGATTTTCAATAATAAATATTCCAACTCATTTCACTTTTAAACAGAAATGTTATCACAAAAATGTATCCTATGTAACATAATAACGTCATTTGCCAAGCAGGCTTAAACTTTACTTAACCCCTCTCTTTTAAATCCAGGTGCAATATGCACACTTCTGTGTAGACAACCCTGTATCTTACTTGCACATGAAACACTTCGATATTGGCTAACTTCACATCATATACCTTTACTACTATTCTAGACAACTCACATTGCATAGACATAACTCACATTGTGTTGCATAATCTCCTTTAGGGGATTACAGTGAACCCCCTATTATATTACTTCTTAAAATAATAAACCAAGAAAAATAATCGAAACACTCCGTCCAGGGGTTTGTGTATCTAAACTCTCAATTCTTTTTCTTCAAATATTACTGATATCTCTAATTTTATTTGTCTGGTATCCTAAGGCCTCTATAGTTAATTGGTATTGAACTTGTGAGTGTAGTTGGACCTGTGTAAAATTCTCACTGCTCTTCCAACTCTTAGCAATTATTATTTTTACTGCTGCCACAAAGTGGACATTTATAAATTTATCTCTAAAATTAAGTGATTGTTGGTTTAGATGGAACAAACCATTATGGGGACCCGTAGGAATACTTCTCTTTTCACCTTACTACATTCCCACCAGATATGGCCAAAAGTCCCTTCCGTCACGTTACATCTCCAACACATTGGAGAATTGGAGGTATACATTTAAGTCAATTTGGTGGGAACTAAATACCAGCGATTCATCAATTTAAATAGTACCTCCAGAATACTTAAACAGTGGATAGCTTTAATAGTTTGTATTAACACTTGATCCCATTCAGTCTTAAAAATCTGTATACCCTACTTCTGCATGTTTACATTCGTAATTGGTGCTTCAATCTGAAGAAGAGCGCTTCTTGCTTTTGAAGCTATTTGAGATACTTTCTCATTATTTAATAAAGCGGTCAGTTTTTCTAAACCCTCTATAGGTCGAGCTAACAAAAATTGTTTGATGAAACCTCTAATCCTTAAGTAATTATACCACTCCTTCCTAGGTAACGAAAATTCTTGTAACAGCCTCTCAAACGACTTAATCTTGTCTTTATACCTTTCCTTGACCACTCATTCGTATTTATATCCTTCATCCTTACTTGTGTGACACTAAAATTAAAGTTTCCCAGTATTTTGTTACCTATTCCGCTGCTAATCCTCAACCTTTCCCATTCCAACAAGATTGATTTCAAACAATTGTTTAAAGAACATACTTTCTTAATTCTCTCATCTTGATTAGTTATCAATATCAGTTGATGCAATTTATCAATTTCTGACATCTCCATTTCAAATTGATACCAACCCTCTTCCTCAGAACTTATGAGTTGCGTCTTATAGATATTGAGCATCATATTAGCTAAATAGGTAAGGATCACATTTAGAAAATTTATACCTCCATTCCTACTCTTCTGCATCAGAAGTTTTTTCAGTTATTCTTGGCCTTTTTCCTTTCCATATGAAATTATTTACATCTCGTATCATAGCTAACCATGGTTGGGGCATTCTTAAAGGGATCATGCGAAAAAGGTAGGACCATTTGGGGAGTAAATACGAATTGATCAGGTTAATTCTTCCCCACCAAGATAATTCGACCTGTCTCCATTGTTTTAAAGACTCGTGGGTTAATCTAAATGTTTTTAAAAAGTTTGTTTGCATCGTGTCATTTAAATCATCAGTAAGTATTATTCCCAGATATGACAATTGATTTTTATCCCAATTAAAGTTATAGCGATCCTTTATATGGAGTCTGCTTTCCCTTGAGATGTTGATAGCTAAGAAGGTTGATTTAGTTACATTCATTTTGTAATTTGAGATTGAACTGTATTTGTTTACTTCTTCCATCTGGGCAACCAAAAATTCGACAGGGTCGGTTAGGGTCATAATTAAATCATCCGCATATAAGTTAAGTTTGAATTCTTTATCTCTATACCTAAAACCTTTTATTCTGGAATTATTTCTAATATTAATAGCGAGGATCTCCATTGTCATAATATACAGAGTAGGCGACAAAGGACAGCCTTGCCGCGTTCCATTATTTAATGCAAACCATTCTGCGCATATGTTCGGAGCCACTGTTCTTGCCGTTGGACCCGCATATAACGTAAGAATTGCATTAAGCATCCATCCCCTTATACCAAATTTTTCCAAGGTTTTCCTTAAAAAAACCCAACCGACCCTGTCGAAAGTCTTCTCAGCATCAACTACCAATAGAAATAAGGGATTTTTATATCTTCAAGCAGCATCTATTAAATCTAATAGCCTTCTGGAGTTATCTACCGAAACCCTCCCCTGTACACACCCAATTTGATCATTTTTTAATCCCTTTAATCTGTGGGCCAAAACTGATGAAAAGATCTTAACATCTGTGTTGATTAATACATTTTTATATAATCGTGATTTACTATATAAAAGTGACCACACTCTTGCCTCATGTTTTAAGTAAGCATTGCCCTTCTTATTTCTTTTGTGCTATCTTTCTCCTTCCTTGTTCTTTTATGTGATATTTCTACTATATACATCAACCATTTATTACAAGAGAAATTTGTTCCATATCTTGGAGAGCCTGATCCAGTAGGATCTAATTTTAATAATCACTGTAATGTTCTTCTTGTAATTCTGTTGATCATCTAAAAAAGATTTCCATTTACCAATGGTTATTTCTTTAAAAACAAACAAAAAAAAAAAACTGTCCTCTTCCGTCCACCCTCCTTCAAAACATCTTCTGTCTTCTATTGTTACGCTGCTCCAAACATTTGTTTTTCTTCCATCCACTTTCTCAGGGAGTCCGAAGTTACAAATTTTTCCGTCTTTTCTTGCCAAAAGATCCTAAGGCATTTGTGAAATCTCAATTTGTATTTCACTTCTCTTGCTCTTAAAGTAGACAACTCCTGGCTAAAACCTTTCCGCCATGATCTTGTGTAAAATGATAGATCTGGGAATATCTTTAAGTCCTTGAATCCCTCTTCCAATACCGGTTTATTTTTTAATTACCCCATTATTTAATTTTTTAGGTAAAAAGATTGAAATTTGACTATTACATCTCATGGTGAGGATTCTGCTATATTTCGAGGTCTAGGGAGCCTGTGGAATCTTTCTAATCCAGAATCTTTTAGTCCAGTTTCAGCTACTAACGACTCAAAATAATCCATTAAAAACTTTTTCAGCGTTGTATCATTAACTATTTCATGCATATTACGGATTCTGATATTAGATCTCCTGGAACGATCTTCCAAATCGTTTAGTTTGCCCTCTAGTTGTTCCACTTTGAGCTGCAAGTCTGTCATAGTTGTCTGTATTTGATCATATTTTAATTCAGTTTGCATCATCTTGGATTCTATAGATCCCAATTTTTCTTGCATACTTCTTAATTCTTGTTTTAAATCTGATGACCCTTTCTGAATATCTTATTTAATATTCTCCAGAAGTTTATCTAAATAATTTATTAGGATCTCTTCAGTTAGAGGTTTACCTACTTGTTCGTCTTGAGGGGGATTAGAGTTAAATTTGGGAGGGGGTGAGGTATCCCGAGTTTCCAATATCGCTTGAGATTTATTTTGAGAAAGGGAGAAATATCCTGAAACTCTTTTCTCTGGGATGGGATACTTTTTTCCCTCTTTCTGTTATCTTCCTGTGGTTTTTTGGCTGCCATTCTGCAGATTTTTTTCTTTTTTCGTTGATGTCTATTTCTCTCTTGCATCAATTTCTCGGCTTATTAGATATAGTTATTAGTATAATTACTTCAAACACTATATTTCAAAGCTCATGGGAACCGGGAGAAATTTATAATTAATACGTTTGAAAACCATTCAATATGGCAACTTGCAGCTATTTGCAATTTAATATCTCATTAGCCCATTTATTCCTATATATGGGTTTTGTGATTGTATTTGCCAAAAATTTGACATATAAACGCGTTCTAAGAAATCCATATTCTGTGTTTTATTTAGGTTATTGCGCTCTTTCAACTTTATCTGTTCCTTTTTATATTGTTTCTCCTTTTTTTTCCTTCCCTTTCCCCTTCTTTTCACTCCCCTCTACTCCTCTCTCCTTTATCCTTCCTTCCTTTTCTCTCCCCTTCTCTTTCCTTATTCCTCCCCCCTTCCTTCCTCTTCTTTTACAGTCAAAATTTAGGAAGTGCACTTATCTTTTGTTGTAGTTTGGTGTTATTGATGTTTCATCACTCCTCTCTTATCCTCCTCTCCGATGTCTCCAATTTCTCATAATCCCCCTAAATTCCCGTCCTCTAACATCCACTGACAGCCTGTAGTGTTTAGTCGCTAGTATTCCCCAGTCTGACAGGCAAGGCTGTTGGCGTCTCTTCAAGCAGAGTGGATCTTCACCGGCCACCCTTCTGCCATATCACCTCTCCTCTCACGCAGACGTTCGAACCCACCTACATCATGACACACCTCGTACCTTTTAAAAGTTAACGGACAGAGGAGAGATTTGAAGACAGAGACACTGCTCCATATTACAATGACAGATGTTGAAATGTTCAAGAGGGTATGTTATTCTTTTTTGATAATATTGCAAGCTTATACTTTAATCTTATAAACTCTGCTATTATTATTATTATTATGTTATTATTTACATAGCACCAACAATGCTTTAAATTATTGTAATGGATTTTATATGCCTATATTTATATTTTTATTTAATAAAATATCTAAAAAGACAAAACTTTATTGCTTCCAAGACAATCCTTATTTTATATTGTATTGTCAATTATTTAGATGTATTTTAGATAGAGGATCTCTTGCTAATAATATAATCCTTTAGCTAAGATATCTGTATGGTTAGCCCTGCTAAGCTCTATGCTTTAAGACGTTATATTAGTAAATAAGGGAACCGGCTGCGGTTACAAAGCTAGTTGAACTGAAACATTGGTTATATGCAAATGCACGTCTCATTAAAATAAATTTGCTCTTTTGTTTACATTGAAGCCCTATGAGCATGAGGACGTCCAGTGTCAGGCAACTTTTTTTTTATACTGTACTTTTCTAAATAAACTAACGTTTCTATGAAAACTGAAGTTTTAGTTTTTTTTGCGGCCCACATAAACTGAAACCTTGTTTATTTGGCCTGTGTTAGCCTTTGAGTTTGACATACTTGCTCTAGATATTCAATTTTCTTCTTTTTTCAGAATCGCCAACATTTGAGGACAGTGGTGTACTGCCTAAAAAGCGCAGATGCCC